ACAAAAAGCAGTGTGTTTTCAGCCCTGTGTGAGGCTTGCTATCAGGTTTTGAAAGTTATTTTCAGAAGTGGCCTTCCTGAGCAGACATTTTCTGGGATGCAGTTAGTGTTCAACTTGCCAGGTGCCTGATGTGCAATGCAGTGATGTTACCAGGCTGATTACTTGGATGGTTCTGAAGTGAAGGCATCTGGTTAGGACTGTTGGCTAGTCAGAAGAAAAGGCACTAATTAAATATTTCTTGCCTTTTCAGGTTTGTCCCTCTGATTAGGTACTCTAAAATTCACCCCAGGGAAAACCACAAAGTTATCTATAAAAGAGAGGCATGATTAAACATTCCTCAGCTAACAAAAAGAAAAAGCAAAGCAATCAGCTCCAGCAAGGCTACCAGCTTATTGCTGTATTCAAACTAACCCTTAACTGTTTCAGCCTGGCAGAGGAAAGCATGAGTGATCTCATGGAAGTTGCCAAAGAATCTCATTGCCACGCACCATTTGACCAAATTTACTTGTTTTCTCAAGCTAAATTAGATATCAAATATATATCTACATCCACACACATAGATGGATATTTATTTGGCATCTTCTTCTTTAAGGCAAACCGTAGTCCTGAATTTAACATAGACCAAACCTATAGTAGTGGTTAGTAAACTGCTACCATTGCCAGTTTCTTACACCTGAACCTTTTACCTTGTTTTCAGTGAAAACAGTTCAAAACAGTTCCAACTTACAGATCGCCAGAGCTGTAATTTTATTCTTCCACATTACACACATACTAACTAGGAAGCTACCTTGATGATCAGCATTTCCACTGGTCTTTTACTAAAGCCGTAGTGGGTTGGGAGTATCTTTCCCTCTCTTTCTTGTTAGCTAGTACCTGAGAGGTCTTTATTCATAAAGTTTCATTGCTTGCTAAGGCCAAAATTAAAGCCTTAATACCACAAGGTCTACACCATGTTCCCAGCGTCACAGACTTGTTCTGTGACCTTTGACAAAGTACTTTATCACAAGCACTTATATGACTGTGGTTTCAGCAGTATATTTGTCGGGTCCTACACATTGCAAGAGAAACGTCCTTCATCAGTGAAAGTGTAATGCAATTAGCGTCAGCTCGCCACTAACACAAAAATTGCAGGTAACGCTTTCGTTCCTTACATTTCAGTTATATACTTGATAACTCTTTGAACGGGATAATTCAGCAGTCTTCTAAAGGATGCATGTACACAAAACCTGCATGCTGGCCTCCAGTTGTAACAAGATCCCCTAAAGAAGTATAAATATCCTTTGGGAGGATTTTTTTTAATTTAATATTATTTCTGGAAAAATATTCTTAATTACTGACAGGGGTACTCTCAGGTAGGCTAAGTCTGAAAGTAAAAAAAAACCCGTTAGCTTTGCTAGCTATGGTAAAAGACATAAAATGGTACATTGCAGGTTTTTAACCCCAGATTGGCTGTAAAGCTTCAAATGTTTAAGTTGTCTGCTTCAATTTCATAGCCTCTATAACCTTTAAGATATTGGCAGGTTTTCAGCAGACCAAAAGCTCAAAGTCTTAGGTAAGACGTACCCCCAAAATTCCAGGTTCAGAATTAAAACAAGTTCTGTAACATAGCTCTGGGAAAAGAAACCCTTAATTGTACAAAATGTAACTGCCCCTCCAAGCCCATGTGTGTATTTGAATGTCCTTGTGACAAGACCTTAAGGTTTTCAGAGGAACAAAATGGAGCTGCTTTTACCTTTTACTTAAAGCACTCCAAAAACACCAATAGCCCGTTTGATCTCCAAAGGCAGTGCTACTGGACTGCAGACTACAGCAAGATAAAGAAAGCTCGGTTCTGCTAGGTGAAACACGAAAATTGCAAACAAATCTCCTCCCTGCTTATTATGTCTGTGCATGGCACAGCCTTTCTTCTTCTCAGACTCTCAATCCAGTGGGGTTTCCCAAAGTTATGACAATCTGTAGCTACAGAGGCTTCTTTGGATCCCTAGGAAATTTTCCTTTTTCTCTTCTCCTTTGAAACTCAGATGTGAGTCTTTCTACAACTCTTCTCCTCATCCTCACCTGTGCTGCAAAATCCCAGCTCACTGTCTCCTTCCTGCCTAACTCCTCCCCTAGGAACTTCCCCAAATGAACTTTCTCGCATGCTTTCTGGCACTGTCTTTGCCTTGCCCCTCAAAAACACTCAGTCAGATTCAGTATTCAGTGGCAGACAGGACAACACAAGAAAACAGTCCTTCTCCTACTGCATAACCAAGTTCTTTTATCAGAAAGGCCAGTAAAATACAGTAGAGGGTGATGAAACATGCACAAAAGGTATCATCTCCATCAAAGGCTGGAAAATGATGATGCGCTTTTTGGGCTGCACTGTGGTGGTTTGCCCAACAGAAACCTTTTCCCTTGGTGTCTATATTGCTACCAAAAAGGTTGCTTATACCAGAGAGTACATTTAATTGTGCATCTCACTAATACCAGGCACTAGGGCTATTTTGTATATTCATAACTTTTCTGCTTAATACAGAAGGAGACATTTCTGTAAAACTGAGCGTTACTTTTGGTGCATGTTGCTGTTGTTTGCATCAAACTAGCATGGAGGGGTCTATCTCAAACATATTGTTCCACTGTAGTAATGCTACACGAAAATCAGGAAAGAGATTGGGACGTAAAAAGTATACAACCTAGATGGTCCCAAACACAGCCAAATCCCTTTAAAATATTACTCTGATTTTGTGAGATTAAAGATTGAGTTATCATTTGTTTCTTTGAACTTTTACTCTGAGATGCCTTAGAGAAGACCTGGCGGAACCCAATCTTCACTGTATTTAAACATATTTTCTGAATCCTTATCTGCTCAGATATGGTTTACAGAGACTCATGTCTTGGTTTTTGTCAGAGATAACTGAGGCGTTACATAGGTCTAAACATAACTCTTCATATCAGCAGTAAGGCTTGAGGAAACTCTGAATTGCAACACTTTATACTGAAGGGATCCCTAAATGATTCTTTTCTTCTCCCAATCATTCAAGAACTTGAAGGTCCAGGGAGTAGCCTCAAATCTCTCATTCCCATAAATTTCACAAAGGTCACAGCATGGCCAATTCAGCTGAAAAGTGTTATTACAGAAAAATTTGATGGTACTTTTATGTTCACTGATGTGAACATAATTCTGTGGGACTTTTAGCTACATATAGCCTGTCTTATCCATAGAGACACTTCAGCAGATATATACGGTACCATCAGCAAAGTTAAAAGTGATGAATTCTCTGATTTATAACTTCTACTGATAACAAGATGATAGAAAATCTTAAATGTATGGGTGTTATTATATACACTGTGTAACTCCGCTCAGCAGAGAAGGGATGTGAAAGAAAAAAATATTTATCACACCTGAACTAGGGGACACTTCCTTGAACGACCCTTGTTGCCTGTAAAGGATTGAGCTGATCTCTAACCAATGCGCAAAAATCTTAAAGATAGGGTTAGCTTTGTGTGTGTTAGCTAAGCGTGGATGCGGGTCTGTAATCCTTCTTGCTTTTAAGGATCACATGTGGGAAGAAAGGTATGTATATATGAGAGCTTTTTTTCTTCACAGATTTAATCTTCTAAAGATATCTCAAACTGCTGAGTTGACATTGCACCTCCTGGAGATCAACTAGTGGATTTTAACTACGTAGGCACAAGAAACTATTATAAGTAAACTGATTAGCAGTGAGGAGCTAAACAAACAGGTCAGATCCTCCTTCCATTTTAAAGCTTTGGCAACTGCCAAAGCTGGACTCAAACGAGAGTCCCTTGGTTATACCCCATTTAAAGCAGAGACTGCATTCATCCACATTAGGCTGCAGATGCATATGAATGCCATAAGGGTCCTCAGCAGTGGTCTCAGTGTGATCCAAGAGTTTAAGCACATAAATATTAATTTGTTAATCTTCACTGCAAATCAGCTTTAAAAGTAGATTTCTAATGAAGTCACTTAGTCAGACGAAATCATTGCGCACTAAACAATCCTGTTAGGAATGTTTATCCAAGCAAAGGACATTCAATTGCATTTTCATTAGTAGCACTACATGGTTATTGTCCTTAAAGACAGAGCTCTTACACTTAATCTATTTGTTTACAGTTGTATCTAATTGCTTACAGTTGAATTTCCTTAAGAACTAAAAACTAATTTTCACTGCTCTTTGGCATTACAAAATCAAGCTGCCTGTAGAAACAAACATTTGAGGACCACAGGTTGTCCTGCCCAGTATCGTAGCTCTGCCAGTGCTGAGGATTCTCCAAAACTTTAAGGAGTTGTGGGTTACCTAATTCTAATGATGCACGTTATGAAATAGAACATTATTTAACGAGAAAGTCACTGGCTGTGATGAACAGCAAGCGATTTA